TCTGACACCTTTGTCTTTGGCTCTCCCGAAGGTCTCCGAGCAGCTACAGCCAAGTGTCTGAGTAGTCAGATTCGCTGGAGCCACCTTGCCAAGCCACCAGCCCAGCAAGGACTGCAGCGTGACCAGGGGCTCCAAGCGCTGCACGCTGCTCTTCCCGCCTGTGCAAACCATCCCCACCCTGTCCATCCCACCCACAGAGCTGTGCGGGGCAGATTTTCCTGACACAGCCAGGGAGTGGCAGCCCCGTGGGGTGGGAATACCATCCACTAGCGCTGCTAAAACCTGTGTCCCTGTGCAGAGCACTTCGCTGGCAGACTCAGACCGCCCACCTGATTTGCTCTGCCCAGAGATGCAGGAGCAGCTGGGAGGGAAGTCATTCCTTCCTGGATGTTGCCACCCCATGGTTTTCCTCCTCCTCCTCTTCTCCATAGGAGGAGAGTCTGGAGACTGTCTCACCTTGTGGCTCTCGTGTACAATTCCCAGCTTGGCCTCTGAAGATCAGGTTTGGGGGCTGAGGCAAGTGTGTAACACCAGGGAGGCTGCAGCAGGGTGTTGCTGCTCGTGATTTATACATCCACCAGCTCCCACACAGGTCAGAGGGACTGGAGCTCACCTGGCCTCATGCAAAAGGTGATCACCAGGTGAACCAGTAAAATATGGAAGAAATACACTCCAAAAACCCCTCTCCCAAAGCACACCTTCAGCACGGGGGGAGTATTTCAGGCAGCTCACTACAGCCTCTGAGGACCAGTTTCCATTATTAGCTCACTCAGAGCTGAACTAGGGACAGAGGCCCACAACATCAGCAGCCAAAGAGAATTAAACCTGAGGAAAAGCAGGTCTTGCCTTTCTCCTTCTAGCTGTAGGGTCTGCAGGCAGCCAGGTGTTGCAGAAAGTGGGTGGTGCTGGAGAACTGCATTAAAAAGAAGCTGCCAAGCGAATTAACAAGGCCACAACATTGGCAGAGGGGCTTCACATCTTCCCCAGCCGTCTCCCCGCTGGGGCTGCCCAGCTGTCATGTTTTGTGCAGGTCCCCACTGCTCACTGCTGGAAGGGGATCAGCAGCACTCAGCTCCCAGGTAGCCACAGCCACAGCAACTGTCCTGGCTCCAGACATCCTCCAGCATCACCTTAACTCTGCCCAGCCAAGCAGATGCAAGAAACACCCGGGAGCAGGCAGGGCTGGCGTCAGAGAGAACAAGGAAGAAGATGGCCATGAGCCACCTCCTCTGGAGTCACATCATCCAGGTGCCTCGAATGCCTGAAGCCAACCTGACACAGAAGAAAAAGCCTTGCCCAGCACCAGAGACATCCATTGACACCACTCGGCCCTGCAAGGACCACAACTCCCTCTCCTTCTGCCACCCTCACAGCCCTTCAGAGGCATCAGCAGCTGCACAGCCAGCTGGGCTGGCCAGCCTGGCAGAGAGGCAAGCCAGGGGCCAGCCCACAGCCACGATGCTGTCAGATAGCCTTGGGGTGAAAAAATCCTCTCCTTTTACCACTGAAATCCCCCAGACCAAGCCTGTCTCAGGTAGAGTTGGTTACACAGAGGGCACAGGAAAAGAGGAGAGAGAAAATGGAGTGGCAGACACTGGCCTTGCTTAGATAGAGGTTGGTCTTTGTCCACTCATGCTGATAAACACCTGGGCATTTATCAGGGCTTCCCTATCATGCTTTCCACCACAATGTACCTTGCCATCATCCCCTGAAAGAGGATACACACTCTGCTTCCCATCAGCAGCAGCTCTGGGGAGCCTCCTCTTCATTTCCCTCCTCCCTGTGCCCTCTGGTGCTCCAAGAGCGAGCACAGCCTCCCCAGCCTCCCAGCTGGGCTTTTGATGGCACAGCTGAGAGCTGGGAGGGACATAGAGGGGAGGAGCAGAGGAATCAGGCAGCAAGGAGAATATCTCAGGGAAGCACGGGTGACATGGTGAAGGGCCCACTCCAGAGCCCATTCCAGATAAAAAGTTCTTGAGAAAAGGTCAGTGTTGGTGGCACTCAGTTGGATTCACACTGTTGTTGTCTGAGGGTCCTGTCAGGTCTACAGGATGTGTCCCTGAATCACTCAATCCATCAGGGAGTCAAACTGAACATAAACCAGCTCAAACTTTTATAGTTTGAGATGTATTGTTTTTCATTCTCAATCCGGAAGTGCTGTTGTTAGACTCAGTAGAAACTGAAGCAGCTGTTACAGAACCCAAAACTTCACTATTTTTGGAAATCCCCTCCACAGAGCACTGCAGAGGGAGCAGCTCAGAATTAATGAATGCTTTGACACATTTGACCACGTGTGCCACATTTGGCACATTTGTACACCAGAACAAAGCTTGTCCGTGGTGGGGGGGACCTGCTGCTAACTCATGAAGCTCATGAGATGTGATTCATGGTGGCAAAGAGAAAATGGCCTTGCACCAGTCATTCCCAGAGCCTGGCTTGTTTATTAATCCCAGAGCAAAGGAAAAATGTCTGAGCTTAATGTGAGGCCATGAGGAACTTCATGGGGTAAGCAATGACTGCATGAAGTTTTCTTTGGTTTATCAATGACTGTGATTTCTGTTTTATGAAAATGAGGTTTTTCCAGGGCTGAAGATGGGGAAGCTCCAGCCATGCCAAGCTGCTGTTCTTCTGCAGCAACTCCCACAAGGATAACCACACCAGTGAGTTATTACCAGCTGCTGTGGGATTTGTTTCTCAGCATGTCCAAAGACTCACTCCTACACTTTGCAAGGCTTGGGGGAAGCACAGCTCATGGACAACACCCCTGTAGAGAGGTCTGCAACATGAATGAGGAATCCAAGAGTTGGGACCAAATCCAGGAGATTGCATCAACCCTCAGTGACTGCAGATAGAGCTGGGTTGCTCCATGACTTGTTTCCTCTGCAGAGGACATTGGTTTGCTAGTGACACTTTTAGATGAGCAAGTGGTGTTTTATTCACAGAGGCCACATGGAGAGTCATGGTCTCTCTGCCCTGCCAGACACAGGGTGGAGGAGTTTGTGGTGGGCTGTGTGTTAAATTTTTCCAAAAACCCAGCAGTCCTCTGGAGAAACAGGACAAAGCCCTGCTCAGACTGCAGCCTGGAAACCTTGTGGCACAGAACTCAGAGATTATCCTTCCAAGGTAAGAGTGAGGGTGTCCAGCAGGCACCTCAAGCCTTCCTGCCCCATTTTGGTTACCATACCCTATCACTTCCAACATCAAAATATCACGGGCAGTGGTCTGGATTTGTTTACAAACAGTGGGTTGAGGTCAGCATCAATCAGAAGAGAAACCCGACCCAGCCAGCTGGGGAGCAGTTCTTAGAAGTTTATATCCCTTAGAGGGAGAGGGGAAGCCTGAGCAGCCCAGGCTGGAGGTCACCTCTTGCTTCATCTAACCAGCAATGTGGTGTGGTACCATCCCAGCAACAGTTCTACAACGAGCAGGTTGTGTATTTTCTGTATTTAAACACTTCTCTTCTAATGGAAAATTGCCTTTTCAATTAAAAATAGCTTCTTGGTCAGTGTTTTTCACATTTTTAAAAATTCTCTCTGGGTTTTTCTCAGGAGGAAAAGAGAAAGTGTTTTCATAACTTTGGGGTTTTCCCTCTTTTTTCTCCTCTCTTTTAAATTCTCCTTTTCCTTCTCTCAGCGAAATACTGGAAAATGAATCATGTCCCCGTGTGGGAGCTTTAACAAAATGTTTCATTTTCATCCTCCTTCCTTTTCTGTTGTCAGCCCTCCTTCTCCCTCGACCTTCCCCGAGCCGGCAGCGTCGCAATCTGTCACACGGACAGACAAAGCTGCATCTCACCCCACTGTCTGCTGAGAGGGTCAGGAGGGCCAGATCACTTAACACTACACCTGTTTTATGAATAATAATACAGACAGTTTCGCTGGGTTCCTGGGAGGACATTTTCCCACCAGGATAAGCGCTGCATATTGAACAAATTAATGTCTTTAACTCGTTTGACTCTGGTTAGCTCGGTTGCAATGGGGAGCTCCAGCCGTGCTGTTGGTGCAGGGGAAACACCAGGCAGGCCTTTGAGGATGATTTTTTAAGTGTGTCTTGTTCTTCCCTTCCCTGCAAGTTTCACTCGTGGAAGTGTGAGGTAATAAATTTGGGGTTCGTGAATCTGTTTCCAGAGGAAACATATTAAAAAATGTGGAGGGTAACAAACAAACAAACAAAAAAAAAGAACGGGATGCATGAAGCTTCAGGAAAATGGAAAGTTATCCATGAGCACATAAGGTCTGTGTGACTCCAAAATATTCCACCTGGACCAAAATGAAACCAAAATGAAACACTTTGGTTCTTTTGTCAGTAGCTAGACTAGTTCAGAAAAGAAAAACAAACAAACAAAAAAAAAAAACCAAACCAACCAACCAGTCCCTCACACATTAAAAAATTACTTTAATATTACTTTAAAACTTCCAAGAATTCAAAGAGTTTCTATTTAAGATGGTGGAACGACATCTTTTCATTCACAGCAGCAAGTTCCTCTAGGTCTTTTCTTAGCAGAAACAAGAAGAAGCAATAGCTGCCTTCTCTTGGCCAGAGAACTGTGTCCATCAGCACAAGCAGCAACATCCCAGGTGACATTCCTGCCCTGATTTGGGCTGCCCAAGAGTGCCAGGAGGGACCCTCAGCCCCATCCCAAGCTGGACCCGTGACCACAGCAAAAAAGGACACTGCTCTTCCAATTCCAATCAGTGCCTCACTCGTATTATTTTATTTGTTTTTGTTGACTTTTATTGAGAATGAAAAAATAATTTAAAGCAATTATCTGTACAGGGGGGGGCAGGGGGATGGTTAGCTGGGTAGAGGATCTGTGACCCCCCCCCCCGACAGGCCAGGGAGGGTTTGAGGGGTGATTTACAGCTGTACAAAACCACAACAATCCCACCGAGGAGGAGTGGAGGGCCAAGGACATCTCGGGAGCTCTCTCAGGCTCAGAGCAGAGGGGCAGGAGCTGTGCAGGGGCACGGGGGGGGCCAAAGGTGTGGCCAGGCAGACCCTCAGGTGACCTGCAGGGGTGTCTCCAGCATCTCCATGAGGAAGGTGTCGATGGGGGTGTCTCCAATCAGCTTGAAGAAGAAGAGGTGCTCCAGGCACTTCAGCCCGATGGAGCGCAGCGCCGGCAGGCGCAGGAGGAGTTTGGCAAACCTGGGAAAGACCAGAGTCAGAGCCACAAGGGAGCCACTGGCTGCCCTCTCCTACCTGTTTCCAAGCCCAAATTCTCACAAAAAAAAAAAACAAACAAAAAAACAAAACAAAACAAAAAAACTTCTTAGCATCCTCAGACTTAGGTTCCCTTAAGCCTTCAAGATGAACATTCGTTACCTCGTGTGGAGGGAATATGGACCTTTCCAAAATAGAATTTGGCATTTTTAAAACGTAAGAGAAGAAAAACAAAAAGAAAAAGAAAAAAAAAAAAAAAGGAAAAGGAAAAATAATAAATACATCCAGATTCTCCCTCCAAGATTTGAAGATCCTAACACCTTACAAGACTTAGATCTCCACGGTACTGTTTAAATCTGTCTTCAAAAATTCCCCAGGCTCTGAGAGGGTGTGCAGCCCCTCAGCTCCCTGGAGGCACAGCTGGAAGGAGGTGCAGCCTGTTCCCTGCTCCCCCTGCCCACCGTGCCTGTGGTGACAGCGAGAGCCAAAACCAGCAGGAGAAGCTGCGGGCAGCGGTGGGGAGCGAGCCAGCTGCCGGCGCTTCGAGAGCTCGGCCAGCAGAGGGTAGGATAGGACTGGATTGGAAAGCAACAAAATTCCATCTCAAGGGCACCCTAAAGGCTGGGGGTTTGGGCACTGTGGCTCAGGCAGGGCCAGCACAGACTCCGTGTGTGCCCAGTGTCCTCTCTCCAGGCTGGGTTTGGTGCTGCCTTGCCCGTGCTGGTGGCACTCACCGCCCTGGCTGCTCGGGGTATTTCTGCTTCGTGTAGGCTTCCAGCGTGGCATAGACCTTCTCCCTCAGTGACTCCACTTCTGAGGGGCTGGACAAACCCTTGGCATCTGGTCAGGGGAGAAAATACAGGTGGGGAAAGGATGTCTGCAGAGAGGGGACTCAAGCCCTCTTTAATCCTGCATCCAGGGACTGGGACAAATTTTGGTCTACTGGGAGGTGTCCCTGCCCATTGCAGGGGGGTTGGAATGACGTGATCCTCGAGGAACCTTCCAACCCAAAGCATGAAATCCGTCTGCAGCCCTGATGTTCGCTGTCACAGTGACCTGCTGTGGCCCAGACAGAGCATTTGTCACCTGGGATTGTCACCAGTCTTGGACTTACCTGGGTTAAACAGGACAATGGCTCGCAGGCACCCCAGCTCCGACTTATCCATCTGCATGTCTTTCATTTTGGACACCAGCTCTGTCAAAACCCTGTGTGTGGGAGACATGGGTGAGCAGACAACCAGAGACCAGTCTCTCCACTGAAAAGCATCTGGGAATACCCTCAATTCTTCTCTGCAGGAAGAGAGGCATCTTTGAGGCACAGCCATGCCCCACACCACTGTTCTACAGGTGCATCAGCACCATCCAGGGACCCGAGCATCCAATTTGCTCCTGTTCTCACTTTGATCAGAACACAGTACTCACAATTTGCACTCACTCAAGGAAAACCACATGGATTTTCTCCACTTTTTACTGTGTAGTGCAAAACATGGGCACTATCCTTACATGTGCCAGGTGTGTGGAATGGTGAGGCAGTGTCCTGCCAGGCAGGGAGCAGGCATGCCAAGGGACAATGTGTGCGGTTGTTACACAAGCAAATTGGGGTTTAAGGCTTTCTTTGCCATCAAAAGCTCTTGGTGAGCAATATCAGGCCTAGATACAGCAAACTCGACAGACAGGAGCATTCCTCCCCCTGCACACCCAACCCAACATCTGCTTCTGCAGCTGCAAATCCCTTCCCACTGTGCTTTCACCCCATTCTCGTTTTTCAAGTCAGTCAAGCGTCCCCTGCCCATTCCAAACCACAAAGAGTTTGCTCCAGTTCCCCTTTGGGAACATGTTTCCCGTTCAGAGGGGCGGGCAGAGCCAGCCTGGCCAGCCCTGTGGGGGGATGACAGTGACAGGGCCAGGTACCTGTCGAAGATGGAGCCCACGCCAGCGCTGTGGGCGCTGCTGCGGTGCACGTGCAGGCCCGTGGCCAGCAGGATCCCGTCCTGGACCGACACGGAGCGATGGGAGAAGGAGGCAATGAGCAGCTCATTCCAGCCTGCAAGCACAGGAGTGCAGGACACGTGAGGCCAAAAATCAGTCCCACATGGAGCAGCAGGGCTGGTTTCTCCCTGCTGGCTTTACACTAAACTCAGAGGAGAGTTGGCACCCCAGGTACCAGCTGTACCCCGTGCCCACACTGCAAGAGGTGGCTTATCTCTTGGAAATATTTGGAAAATGCTCTCAGGCACATGGTGTGATTTGTGGGGTTGTTCTGGGCAGGCCCAGGAGTTGGACTTTGATGATTCTTGCAGGTTTCTTCCAACTCAGGATATTCTATGCTTCTACGACCCTGACCAGCAGCAAGCAAGGAGCAGAAATTGGCTCAAAGGGGAAAAAAAATTAAAATTACAAAAAAAGAAATGGGGAAAATATTCTGTGTTTTCTTCCTAAAAACCACATTCCTAGCAACTTCAATCCTTTCACAAACAACAGGTTCTATTGCTGATTCTATTCAACAGGTTCTATTCCACCCACAACCTCTGCCGACCCCTCATCGTGTCTCAGAACGGGAGATGCAGGGATGGACTGGCTCAGGATTGCACAGGCAGCACCCAGAGAAGGGACAGGGGCAGCAGGGACAGCCAGGTCCCAGGTGGGGGACACTACCTGCCCGGAGGAGGATGACTTGGTCTTCCAGAGTCAGCTCAGAGAAGTGGGGGATGCGCTTGGCCCACTCGACGAGTGTGAAGAGCTGCTTGTCAGCAGCATGGCAGATGTTGGTGACAGGGTCGTTTGTCTAACAAAGAGGGGCAAAAAAGGGAAAGAGCAGAGGAAAAGAGGAGAATTCGTCAATGAAAAAGCTTTGATAGCCACAATCATAATCAATACTGCACGCAGCAGGCCACAAGTACCACACTCAAATAATCTCAGCCAATAATCTCAGCTGGGTGCTGTTGGGAAGAGCAGGTATTTGTTACCACTATCCCCCCTGCAGCCAGCCAAGCCAGTTTGATGCCTTGGAATGGCCACCTAGAACAGAGGCTAGACAAGATCAAGAGAGTAAAATAGGATATTTATTAAAGGCTTTCAATAGACACACCTTGGGCAGTCAAAAGCCTCTGAGAGGGGCTACACCCAAGAGGGATGATGGTCAGGACTTGTTCATACAATTTTAAGTTTGGTCCATTTACATATCAGGGGTTAATCCTCCAATTACAGCTTCAGGTAATGAAGTCATATACCCCCAGTTTGCTTCCCCCCGATACACTTTTTTTTTCATATTTTTGGGGCCTGAAACAACAAGGTGTCCTTGAGTTTCAGGCCTAGAGAGGGATTGTTTTGTCTGAATAAAATGTGCAGACAGTAGCTATCACTCTATATGGAGTTTTAGAGTTATACACTAAAGCAGTACAGGATCTAAAAAAATACAAAAGCTAAAATCCTAAGGCATCAAGCTGGTTGCTGGACTTTCTGTTTCTTGTTGTCCTTTGCAAAGCGAGTCCCTCATGGCTGGCTGCAGTCCTGCTCCCCAGGGCATATCTAAAAGCCAGGGAGCAGCCCCTGAACAGGCATGAGCAGCAGTTTTATCCAAACCAGTAAAACCACAGCAGTGGTCTTGGTCACAGGGGCAGACAAGAAGTATCTGTGTGAAAGCCAGCACAGGGCTCAGACTGTCCAGCACCTATTTCCCTATGAACTCATTGAAACTAAAGGAGACTTGGGGAAAAAAAATGCTTGGAAAATAACATATAGGCTGTTTTCTAGTTGTTATGCAGAGTAGCTCCAAAAGAAAAGCTGTTGGTGATTTTTAGGTGTTGTGGAGCAAAATCTTCTTGTTAGTCTTCTCAAAAGCCAGCTCACAGCCCCTCATCTCTGGCTGCAGGTGATGCCAGTGGCTCTTACCGAGCTCTCCGTGCCCACGTCACTGTATGCCTCTGTTTTGGGCTCCACGGCCAGCTCAGCCTCCAGGATCCTCTCCACGGGCATGTCCTCACTGCCACTGCTGGTGGACTCCGCCTCGTTCTCACTGCGCTCCCTGCTCCTCTGCCTCTCCTCCTGCACAGCTGTGGGACACACACACGGCTCTAACACTCCCCTGCTCACAGGGGGTCCCCAGAGAATCCCCCTCAGCAGGAGGAGAACAGAAAATAATTATTTTTTTTACTTAAAAAATATTTTAGGGGATGCACAGCCATTAAACTGGCCGCTCCCACACCACGAAGTCCGAGGTTGCTGCAGACCAGCAGCCTTCAAATTTGACAAATTGGATATCAAAGTTTACAATTCGACAAATTGATTTCCAAAATATGACGCTCCAGAACAGAGGGAAGAGGAGCTGGTACCTCCAGGTGGCAGCCTGGACTCGGCTGTCACCAGGTGCAGAAGGAGGCAGGAGGGACCCAGCACTCACACACAGGGGTTTTTGTGCTCTCAGGGTGCTTCCAATGGTCCCAGTATGCTTTCAACAAACCCACAGCAGTCAGAGCATCCAGCAGCAGGGCCAGACAGTCCCAAACCCCAGCTGGATTCACACATGCTGTTTGTCTCATTCCTGAGCAAAATCCTACCCAGTCTGGTGTCACCTCCCCCTCTAGCACCTCTCTTCCTAATCCTCCCCACCAGAAAGTTCCTTCTGCATCAATACCCCAACCCTTCACTCCCTTCTCCCCTCTCTGCAGGTTTTCCAAAATAACTACTGGCTGAAGGCACAGAATCATGACATTCTCTCCAAAGATCAATTATTAACTCCCAGGGCTGCTGTGTGTAAGGTAGGTCGGTGTAGGACCTGTGTATTTTGTGCAACAGAAGTCCTGGGCACATCTTTTTTTTCCTGGAGAATCCCAAAGGGAAATATGACAATCCTGCTTAAAAAAAGAAGTGACCAGCACTCGTAACATTTTTAAATATAATTATAAACAAGTATAATATTGTTATATTAAATACAATATTATATACAATATATATATATACATAAATAATATATACAATATATTATGTTATTTATATATTATTTTATTATTATAGATTATTATATTGTTTAGCTCACTGCTGGGGAGAAATGGCAGCACCCAAGGAGATGGATCAGTGAGGCATCCCTGGTGCTTGTGAGGGAGGACAACACAGGACACAGGTATATGCCAGCCAGCTGGGAGGAACATTTCTCCTCTTTAGAGTAATGGACAGGAAAAGCCATGCAAGTGTTTCTGAAGTCACCAAAATCTTACTGGAAGAAAGAACATGGCAAGGAAATACCAGTGCCATCACACAGCCCCTGAACTCAAGCTGCACTCTGTCCCCAGTTTCTGCAGCTCTCAAAAATCTCAAAAAGTTTGGCTGATTGCTGCAGCCAAACTCCCACAGGATCTCCCAGGATCCTGGGGTTTAAATTTTCACTCTCTGCAAAATGAAGTTGCTTTAACACCCTGGTCCTCTGAACCACTTTGCACCTGGCTGGAAGAGGGAGCTATGCCTGGGATTAAGTTTTTGATTCCAGCCTGGCATTTTGCAGTCTCCTGCTGCCCTAGGAGCTTGAGGCAGCACAGCTTTGGTGATGCTGCAGGACGAGGATCAGCTCATGCCTGTTGGATCCTAAAAATTTGGGGTTTTTCAACTTTTTGACACTGACTTTTTGGAGAACTCTGTTTTTGACTTGGGGCTTTGGAGAGGGTTTCTAAATTTGAGTGATGAAGTTAAAGTTACAGGTGTGCAGTGAAATAGAAGTGTGTGCTTTCACATGGTGAAGGGTTTTAAATTTGGGGTTTTTATTGTAATGGGTATGGGACAAGATGGATGATTTGGGGTGGTGGCTTTTTTGGTGTTCATCTTGTTTTTCTTCTTCTTTATGGGTTTTAGATAGTAGTTTTTGGTTGGTCAGTCAGTGTCACACTGAGGGTTATGAGAGTTTGGTTATTGGGCTAAAAGGATAAATAATATAGGTGTTAATTTTCTAATTTTCTATCTGGTGATGCTGCAGGACGAGGATCAGCTCATACCCTGTGTTACAGCTGCTTCCCCAGGCTCTGCCCTGCACAGGGAGCAGTTTACGAGTTCCACAGGGGAACAGCACGGCCTCCAAAAGGGACAGCTACACTTCCTGCCAGCATTCAACCCTCAGGGCAGCTCCCTTACTTTATCTTAGAAAAAACGAACTTAAATGCTGTGTTGGTTGTCACTTCCTGACCTTGCATCTGTTAGTATAATTTGGGAGACAATCCAGCTCAGCAGGTGAGGCTAACAGTGGATATGACAGAGAACTATAAAATAAGAGAAATAAATCATTCACCCTTAATCTCCAGTACAAGAATTAGGTGGTGACAAATAAAGCCAGCAAATCAAAAACTAAAAAAGGAAGGTGCTCTTGACAAAGGGGACAAGAAGGCTGCAGGGCCCCTCAGTGCTGGGTGCTGTCCCCAGCAGAGGTTTACAGATTTCCAAGGGGTCTAAGCCATTAAAAGTCACTCACTAGAGGCAGGGTCGGGCCAAAATCACTTAAAAGCTTCAATGCTCACCAGGGTGTGTGTTTAGCTGAGAAGAAAAATACACTGTAACAGGTTCCCCATCATCCCCTTCCCTTATCAGCCTCCCTCCTTATGAGGGAAACATTCTCCACATAAAGTGTTGTCAAACATGGGAACAGGCTGCTCAGGAAGGTGGCTGAGTCACTAGCTAAAGGACAGGTAGATGTGGCACTTAGGGACAGGCTTTAGTGCTGGAATCCACATTGCTGGGCCAATGGATCCACTCGATCCTAAAAGTCTTTTCCAACTTAAACCATGATTCTCATTTCCTTTACGTAACGAGGTCCACAACGCCCTGAGGCTCCCGGCGTGGGGTTTTGTCAGCAAGAGCCTGACTTATCCTCAAGAAGGAAGGAAAATTTGTCCAATCCCACTGCTTCCAGCAGCCCCAGTCCTACCTTCCCTCTTCATGCCCATGGCCAGGCACTTCTGGTAGCGGCAGTACTGGCAGCGGTTGCGTTGGCGCTTGTCGATCAGGCAATCCTTGTTATCCCGGCACGTGTAGATCAGATCCTTCCGGATCGTCCTCTTGAAGAAGCCTTTGCAGCCCTCACAGCTGTACACCCCATAGTGCTTCCCTGGGGAGGCAAGGGAATGGGTGGGCAGGCAGGTGTTTGCCCTTCCTTCCAGCGTGGGGGGGAGCTCAAAGCAAACCCAAAGGTGAAAACCTGCAGGGTATCACCTCAGCAGCAATAGTGACCAGCAGCAGTCAAAGCACAGGAGCACTGCTTTCCTGGGATAAGCAGGGGCTGCATGCCAGTGGAGTGATCTTAGCTGCAGAGCAGGCAGCAGATGGAGATATCTCCATGTCACGGATATGGAGAGGGTTTGCAAGGCTCGTGGGGTACGACAGAAAACCCAGGCACAGCCAGGACCCAGCTAGCACACAGGTAAATGGGAACACAGAGATTTTGATAGATTTACCTTTGGTAAACAGGGACAGAAGGTAAAATGAGACTATACACACAAGGGGGAAAGGCACAGTGTTTAGGTTTGCTCACTTTTGGGCATTAATCTGCAATACAAACAGCCAGATCCAGACATGATCCTGCAATTCCAGCAAGCCCCCACGCTGTTCAGTGCTGCACAAGCCTTGCTTCAGAGCACCAGGAGAGTTCCCACTGCACAAAGCCCTCCTCAAGAAAGAAAACCTCCTACCTGAGGACCTGTCCCCACAGATGGCACAGATGTGTTTGGCTAGGGAACCTGGACTTGTGGATGGATAATTCATGTTCCCCATCCCCGGGAGACCCGGCAAGGGCTTGACATCCTCTGAGCTGCTGACATTGTTCAGGACATTGAGCTGCAGAAGCAGAAGCCACAAGACAGGTTAGAGGAGAGAGACTCACATCTCACTGGAACCATCCCCAAATGGAGCTGACCCTTCCCTTGCTGCTCCTGCCAGCCTTGTCCCACAGGTTTATCCCCAGCAAGTCCATGGGGCTGCCATGGGCAGGCAGGCATTCTCTGCTGAATGAGCAGGCACTAAAGCAGACATTGCCTGATGTTCTAACCAAAGCCAGGACTAAGCAGAGCTGGAAAAGGACAGGCAGTAACCTCAGCTGCTCACTTACAGCCTCCAAGCCATGAGGCTGGTGGGATCCTGCCTGCTTCATTAGAGGATGCTGATTGCTGGCTGCTGGCAGCCACAAGCACTAACAGCTTAGCAAAGAGGAGCTTTGCAGCCAGGTGATTTCTAACAACCCAACCTGCATTGCTGCATGGCTAGGGAAGCTGTAACAGTGTTCAAAAAACCAAAATTTAGTGGGTTAGCTTCCCTGACTCATGATATCTGCATGTAACATGGCCATTTGTTGACTCTCTGGGACGTTGGTTCCCAAATGCTATCACAGGTGGCAGATTTGGGTTTACCTGATTATTAAAAAAATAAAAATAAAGGGTTGAGCATCTAAAAACCGGAAGCTGTGAGATGCAGGCAAACAACACAGAGCCCCCCAGCTGAGATCCCCAGGAGCTGCCCGTGGCTGCTGAAGTTAAAGGTTACAAACCCACATTGATTAGAGACCAAAGCCTGATGTTACCCAGGGCTTCATTTTATTGCTGTTTGCTTTGGAGCCACGGGCAGGGCAGGGAGGATTAAGGGCCATTGAGCAGGTCTTGTCAAAAACTGTCTGCACAGACCAATGTCTCTCCAAGCTTTCCATCAAATCACCTTCCCCACTGTCGTGGGCTGAGGGCTGGGGATGGCTGCTCCATCCCTGAGTTTGTTTGGAACAGTCATGCCAGTTTATCAGCTCAAATTCTTCTTCCCAGCAAGAAGGCAGAAGCAGGGATAGAAAAAACAAAGGTTTGGATGAAGACCCAGCTCGAGCCTACATTCCAGTCTCTGTACCATTTAAAACAGTAGATTTCATGCATGTTGCTGAAAGTTCTCCATTTGCTCCAAGAAACTGCACAAAAAAGTGGCAATTTCCACAGTAAATTTCAGTAAAGAACAAGGGGTCATCCCATTGGAATTTCTGGACCTGTCATTAGAAAACTAAAAAGGGGAAGCCTGTTCTTAGCCTCCCTCATTGCTGTCCCTTCATTTTCAAAGCTTCAAAGGTTTTAGTAACATGGAAAATAAAAATTATCCAGCAAAAATCAGGAACCAAATTGAATTTTCTAGTGGAGCAAAACAAGTGTATTGGGAAAAATTGCCCAGAGGAAGAGAGGTTCGATATCCCCAGCAGAGACTCAAACCAGGCACTGGCAACTGTAAAACCTTATGCTTCAAAATCCAGGCCACAAAAAGGAGAAATAAACCCCTTCCCTCCACGACTGTCCATCATCTTGGCAAAATGCTGAGCCAGGAGGAACTTTCTTGTGGTTTAAAATGTCACTCAGAACTCAGGTACCACCTTTTCTTCCTCCCTGTCTGCACTTTGAAACAATAAAAGGGAGAGAAGGTGCATGGGAGGGGGACACACTGGGCAGTTTTAGCCATCAGTGTCCTTAGAGCTTGACTCCTGCAGGTTAAGTGCAATCATGTATGATATCTGGGACAACTGCTTGAACCCAAATCCATTAGCTGGCTCCCTGCTGAATCCCCAGGGCCCAGCTGTCTCCTTGCATTAGAGGTAACACAAATGGAACCCTCTCCTAGGATCTGGGAACCTGGCATGGTGCCCAGGCTGGAGAAACCACTTCCCAGAGCATCCCCAATCCCAAAGGAAAGGCTCCCAACCAGCCAATACTGCCAAAATTTCCTGTCCAACCATCCTGCCCTCGATGTCACAGGCACAAATACTGTCACTTCCATGGGGAACAGCTGGCTGGTGCAAGGGGAAGAGGGATGCTCCAGCATTGCCACTGCCCACAGCAGGGGCCCACACAGGAGTTGGGCATGCTGGGGAAAGGTAAGCCAAACCTCATCCTCTTTCAGAGCTCTTCAGGGGACTCCCCATGCCATCCTCCCCCAGCCTTCCAGGTGCTAAGAAGAGCTTCAGGCATTCCAAGGAGCAGCAGCAGGGAATGGGGCAGAGAGGGTTCGGGGACCATCTCCTTGCTTTTTCCTCAGCAGGAGCCACGAGGCTTTTGATCACTTCCTACCTTCGGATCCCACTAACAAACCACAAAATCTTGCTTACGAGAGGCAGAAATTTCATTTAGCTCTGGACACCCAGAACATTTCAGCTCTGTGTCAAAATGCCACACGGCCACCAGAAATGCAGGAGGTGGTGCCAGGCTTTTGGAGCAGCACGTCTCCATCCCACAGAGCCACCCTGGGAGCCCCATCCATGGCTCTGGGGAGGCGCCAGCCCTAACACCTGGGTCTGGAAGGGAAACCTCAACACCCACGTGAGCACAGGCAGTTAAGGATGGGAGAGCTTCATTTCGCTTCAGGCCAGGTTTATACACAACACAGTAGGTGGCTGGCATTTAGCATTAACATTTGTCTCTCCCTAGAAAGTCTGTCTCCTTTCCAGATAATGAAACGAAGCAGATATGCTTTTGCAGGAGGAAGGGCAATGTTTCACAAGCTGCAGCCCCTGGCTATCCTGTCTGTTTCCATGTACAGCAGAGCTGGACTGCACCCACAGTGAGAACAAAGCCGGAAATTAGCTCTGTTCCTTTATCCTGTAGGGTATTTTAAAACTGCTGTGGTCTCTGTGTGTCTGTGATTCATGCAGATTCACGTGCTGGTGAATCTTTACAGCTGAGCTCCCTGAGTGGCCAAACTCCCCACCAGCCAACCCAACCCAACCCAACCCAACCCTCTCGCTCAACTTTTGGGATTTCACCCATCCTGAGCGAAGAAAGCGCTCACATCCCCACCTGTGGGCTGGCGTGGGTCACGAAATTCATGCCTGGAGCAGAGGACAGAGCCACGGGGTGCGAGCCCAGGGACGAGGTGATGACCCTGTAGGGCGAGCCCAGGGCGTTCACGGGGGAGCCCAGGGCGTTCATGGGCGACGGCAGCGCCCGCGCGGCGCTGGGGGGCTCGAGGTAGCTGTGGGGCCCCTCCACGCAGGAATTCCCTGTGGAAAGGCCCGAGGACAGGCTCACCGACGTGGAGCTGGCGTGCACGGGGGAATCTGCAGGAAAAAGCAGAGAGATGGAGCACACTGAGTGTTACAGCCACCAGCTGCCCAGCCACGGCTGTGTCAGCTTCGAACGCCAGCCCAGCCTCAAAATCAACATCAAAACCAACCTCAAAACCAACCAGCAAATCGTGCTATAAAGGGAAAAGAACAAAATGTTGGTTATAGTACAGGAAAGTCATTTACATACAGCAACAAAACTTATTGGGAGGATGATGCCAAATAACAAAATATTCCTTCTCTGCTCCGGTGTCTCAGCAGACTTGGAGGAAGGCACCACTGCCTCAGGCTGGTTTTCTCTGAACTCCTCCCTGAGGTCCCACTTCTTTCTTTCCAAGCCACCTCGAGAGACAGCACACCCTGAAATCCTCACCAGCCAGCCTGGCAACTCTGAATGTTCCACATGTTTTATGAAGCACCTCTACTCCTTGAGATGGCTCTAGCCTCATGCTCCCATGGCTTAATTTCTCCCCTTCCCACCTAGGTGTGTCCCCACTGTTCCATTTCACATGTTCACTCTCAAAGCTGGATGCCAGCACCTTCCACAGGAGCTGGAACAACACAAGAATGGCTTATGACACGTCAGCAATGCAAGTTTCAGAACGAGGCAACCCCAAAACAATTTATCCTTTATTTTTCCTCATTTGTACAAATCAGAGCAGAGCTTTGGCCACACAGATGTGCCAGGGCACAGCTCCAGGGACAGAGAGTTTCCTCCCTCCACGCTGAAGAGCTGCAGTGCACATCACCAAGCTGAGCCCCATGAGATCAGTCTGGCCCTGAATCCTGCTGGGGAAGAAGTGATGTAGAAAAACAATATAACCCTGATCACTGCCACTTCAGGGCAGACTCTAAGGCTGAACAGCTCAACCAAGGCCTCAACACTGTCTTCTGCAAGACCACAAATATTCAGAGGGCATCTAGGCATCAAATGCCCACTAGTCCCAATGGGTTGTGTATTTAGGTGCATTTTAAGGATACACATGACCTTTTCTCCCTCCCTTTGAATTTTCCAGCACTAGTTAGCATTGGCTGTCATTAACATTTCTGTGAACCATTATTTCTCTGCTGGTTTTTCAACACAGGAGATCATTCCCTGGAGTAGCAAGGCAAAGATGTTTTGTGGGAAGGTCACACAGCTGGTTTTTCATGGCTGGCACAGAGGATGCATTCTCCCCTTGCATTTGCAAGTAAGGCAGCGCTTTGGTGTTTTGTTTGTGCTTTTTCCCCCTCCTTTTAACATTATTGCAAAGTTATTTACGTGACAGTGTTTGTTATTCTACCTGAAGTAACAATCAAATCTGATTCAAAGGGAAGATGCACAATAAAGACGGGAAAAGGTCAGCTTGCTGAATAACATTAAAGACATTTGTCAGAGTCAAGGAGGACTCGATCCTCCGTTATCAACCCACTTCAGACTTAATTCTGCAGAGGGAGGGGGAGAAAAGGTCTTTGTCAATTCTTGCTCTGGCTTTTTGGATCAATTCTCCCAGTGGGAGAGCGATGTGCAGCAAGAGGAAGCCGGCTCAATGACAACAGCAGAAGCCTCGGAGGCAGCGAGGCGGTCTGGAGGCAGGGCCAGGGCTCCTGCCTGCTGCCACAGAGTCACCCCACGTCCCCCTGCCACCATCAGGGAGACACACAGCCTGCTTTCTGCCAGCAGACAGCAAAATCCCTACCTTGGAATGGAGTCCAAGCGCTCAAGTCCTCCGTCCCAGGGACAGAGTGTCTTTGGCACTGGGCAGAAGATGGGCTGTTTGCCCGGACCCCTCCCTTACCTGAGCAAGCACTCAGCTCACACAGGCACCTCAGATGGTTCTTAAAAGGACCTTCCTGACCCGGGCCATTATCAGCTTCAGAGAAAAACAACTGCATTTTTCATCACCTGTGGTACCATAATGCACACCAGACCTCCCCAGCATCTGTAGCACAGGCCTAGAAAGAATTTGCTTTTACGCCTCTTTAAATAACTAGGTAAACAACATTGCCTTTGAGGATTCCTCAGCTTGGAAAATAAGTCATTGCAGGGGATATTGGGCAGAGATCTATCACACCAGGACAGCTGAGCAGAATGATTCTTCATCCTTTTCCATTAACACAGAAAAGGGCATATTTTGAAAGTATCATGCAGAAGATTTAAACCAATAAGGAAAGACACCCAGGAGAGTTGACTGTTTGCTTTTATGCCAGACCTTACAGAATCGCTGTCACTGCTAAGTTTCTCCATTAGAGAGGCTCCAGGCTTCACATTTTCATGGGAAAGCTTCCAGGCTTTCACACAAGGAGGCTGCTGGCCAGTGCAAGCCCCACCGTGGGCTCAAGCCCCTGCCAAGGGGCAAATATTTTGGGGTTGTGCCCAGGGGAATCCCCTAGACCCCAGGATGGGATCAAAGGTCAAATCCAGGAAACCTAGAGGGTTTGTATCTCTGCTGTCCCAGCGATGAAGAGGAAGCGTGAATGCACAGAGTGTTTGCTGGTGGAGATGGGTGGATAAATGAAAATATCTACTGGAGAGCACAGAGGTGTAAAGCCAGGCTTTGCCAGGGCCTGCTGACACAAATCAGAGTTAACATGCTTGTTTCTACAGTGCCTGGCCACACTGTCCTGCCAAGGCTCTGACAAACCCCTTGGTCAAATCCAGCAGTGTTAACTTTCCACTTACCAAACCACAACTTTATCCATCTGCTACAAACTGGAATAAAGCCCCCATTTAGAAAAGCACAACGATGACCACAAAAAGCCCACAAACAACAAAAAAACCTTTGACTTCCAGTCCCTTTCTGGGATAAGTGTGCTAAGCCATTCCCCAGGGGAGCAGAAATGCATTCTCCTGCACCTGGGGAAAATCTTCCTCTCAGCTTCTCATTTTCAGGCTAGAGTGCTCCGAGAGGGATATAAGAAATGACTGTTAGCAGACTATCAGCTTGTGAGAGGAAACAATTTTCATGGCTGAAAGGTGTGCAGGAAGAGCCATGCCAAAGCATCCTTGACCCTGGGGTTAATTATTCACTCAGCTGAACACACTCAAACGTGTTTCAGTTCAAAGAAGCCACGGAGGTTTGGACTGTGCAAACAGCCATGTTATGAAAGAAAACAATTAAGTAATTAATTAAATATTAAATAATTAAATTACTTGTAAGAAAATACTGACGGTCTGTGTCCCACATCTCCCAGCAGAACCCAGAAAGCTCTTGGGTTCACCGGGATGGAATGGCTTTACTCGAGGTGTTTTCTCCCATCGTTTGGGGCACAGACAAACGGCAGTGGAGCAGGGCTAGACAGGAGCTGCTCTGCGGCAGGGAAGCAGCTCCGGGATGGAGCAGGGTGGGCTGGGGGGACAGGGCTCAGTCCTGCACGCCAGGCACAGCCGGCCGCCCCCGCAGCGGCGCTGGGCACAGGTGACATTTGCACAGGGCTGCAGCGTGTCCAGCAGGTAATGCGAGGCGACAGCGGGGCTGGGCACGCCCCGGGGAGCACAGGGCACCACCACACTGGCCATGTCCCCACTCCAGCTGGGACCTGCATCGAGCACCAGCACTCGCTGCTGCTTTTCAGCACCCACCCCACATTCATCATTGGCTTATTTCTGATCCACAAATGGGGCTGTTTGGCTTTCTTCCTTGTTTCCCTTCTCCACATTAATGCATGGACAGGTAGTTTCCTGTCCAAGTTCAGGGAAGCTCGATTTTGTATTTATTTCTCTCTTGGAGGAGCAGGGGAAAAGAGGACAGGAGGATTGTGTGGATTTTCTCTCCGCTGCAAACATGCACTGACCAGAAAACCCTCCATCAACTCTCCACATTCCTTAAACAGAAACACACTCCAGCCTTCTCTTGGAAGGATGCAAAGCTTAAGAAGAAAGAACTTGCTGCTGGGTGCTTCACTGTTTCAAAGTAGCTCTGCAAATTGGGGCGTTGTTTGTGGCAGGGAGCAGCTGGAAGTGCACACACACACAGATACAGTGGCCACGCTGTTGCTTCAGCATTCAGAATAATATCCAATGTCAGCTTAGGCATCTCTGCTGACATTAGGAAAAATAATGAAAAAGGACCCCAAGAAACACTCACTTCTCTGCCTTTTGAAAATACTGCCCTTGAGGACATAAGCAACAGCATCACCTTCACCCACCAGATACAGAAGCTGAGCAAGCACACAAAGCTCTGATACACAACTTCCAACTGTGTTTCATCTTCACTTTAGCAAAATCCTGATCCAGGGATAGGAAACTTGCATGAATAGCCCCATAAAACAGGAGCAGAAGAGCACCATCCACAGCACAGCAGATGTGTGGGTGTCCAACAGATGCACCTGCAGAGCACAGAAGCTCCAGGTCGAACACAGCTATGCTTAACAGCCAGGTGTGGACTAACACAGAGAAACTGAACCAATGTGAGCTTGATGAAGGCACTTTGGATGCACCTCTGTGCTCCAAGCACTCCACAGGTGAAGCTGAGGAAGGCATAGAAACAAAGAATTCTCTTTTGCAAGAGTGCACAAACACCTTGGTGAAGGCAGTAGGAAGAGAATGAACCAGGCTGCAATCAATAAAACTGTCTTGATTTTCACACAAATAATGGCAGCAAACACCAGCTTCAGCAGTTACACCTGAGTAGAAAGAAGAATCAAAATGCAGAGACCAGAAACATTCAAGCACTACACACATTGTCTGTGTAGTCACCACAGGCTGCAAGTTTGGTTTTTTGGCTAGTGCCCCTTCAGCTCCAACACCCAGCAAAGCCTTGAGAGAAATACTCATGTTCAACTCAACTAAGGCCTAAAACAATCCTTGAAGATCCCTGGCAAGCCTAGAGATGATGATGCTCTCAACATTCACAGTTTCCTTTTTGATATCAGAGAGAATCAAAAGCTGGAAGTCATCAAATAATGAAAAACACTTATGCTCCCAAGGCTTCAGAGAAATGGTTCACTTCATTGGCACAAACATTGAAAGGTGTGAGCTGCTTTGCCTGACACATGACTTTGCAGATACTCCA